CAATTGTGCATATATTTTTAAAAATAATAAACCACCTTAATAAAAATCTGCACTTCAATTCTAAGGCAGGCATAAGCTTGGTTTATGTGTCAAGCAACTTCCTTCAATTACAGTGAATTAGCAATACATCCAATCTCAGACTTTAGTATTTCTCAGGCAAGCTGAAATAAAGATGTTTAAAGAAGGGTCTTAGTTGTGAAGAATAAAGTAAGACTAACACACAAGGGAACAATTTACAAAGCCAAGTGCCTAATTAGTAAGGAGCCAAGCTCTCTATTACACTCCATTGTTCACTGGCACTTCAGTTTGGTTTCTACATCATCTTAGCAGTTCTATTCTATGATAACTTATTTTGTGAACTCAATTTTCTTCTGCAAAACCCCAGGAATTTTAAGTTCAAAATAAGCTTGGTAAGAATTAAGCACTACTCAATGTGGCATAGATCAGTGGTCTCTCTTTATAATATCAGGGACCCTCAGTGAACACTTAATTTTATCATGTTACTTAAATATCTACAAATATAAAATCAGTAGAAGTAAATGCCTTATTGTCATAGCCCTTAGCTTTAGATTGAAGTGAATTTTTACAGTCTGGTTTTTTTTTGGCTGTGCTGCACGGCCTGTGGGATTATCTTAGTTTGCAGACCAGAGATTGAACCTGGCTCCTTGGCAGTGAAAGTGAGCAGTTCTACCTTTCGACTGCTAGGGAACTCCCCCTCAAGGTGAATTTTTAAAGAAAATAAAAGCAAATATTAAAAACCATAAAATTCAAATTAATAGTATCACCTTAAAGTTTGTTAAAAGTAAATTTCTGACATTTGGTTTACTGTATAAAGCTGTAGACTCATGTATAGTTGTGGATTTAATTTTTCTGTATTTTTAATACTAGTAATATAAAGAATGCTTGTTCACAATTACATAAAACATTAACTCTGAGGTTGGTTCAGGATAATTAGGCCTCATAATTAACCAAAGTACTGCAAAGAGCAATCCAAGAATGACAATTTATCAGTAGATGACTTTATAAAACCATGGTGTTCTGGTCAAAGTTAATAATGTAGTATGTTAACTGATATCTGAATCAAACAGGTATCTAATCTGATAAATACAAGAACTGTAAACAGAAACATTTTCTCTAGTATAGAAACTATTGTACTACTAGTTATCTGCTGCCTCTATACAGATGGAAATAGGATTCAATAAGTCTGCTTGAGCAGCACAGACTTAAGAAGTATTCTTAAGTGCCAAGTACCACCAAGTAACTCGCTTAGCAGGTCACTTTTCAAACTACAGTGAAATCTTCATTTGTACAGAACATGGATATCGTTGGCTTCAGTTGGCATCAATACAATTTACACAGCAGTTTTCTGTAAGTCAGCCTATAAAATGATACGGCATGGTATTTTTTATGTATCTTTAAGATAACCATTTAAAAATTTTTATTTTAAAATAAAAAAAGGAAAGAGGCCACTGTAGATAAAATTAAAAGCTTATCATCTTTCACCAGAGAGTCATGAGAATTTTCCTTTTTCACAAGGTAGCAAAAGCTATTAACACATTTATTCTTACTCAGGCAAGATACCTTAACATGTAAGTAGTGCCAAAAGTTAAATAACCGCAACTTAAGTACCACATGTTAAACCTATTATATAAAATTGGCTCCATTCACTTGTATATAACCAGTTCAAGGCTTTATAATTTGCAACAGCTCTATTATGAAACCATCTTTCCCCACACATTACTAATTATATAAAATGCAGTTTTTTAAATGGATTAAAAATGTTCTTTTTAATGTTCTTTTCTGGTTTAAAAAAGGATTCAAGTCTTCCCTAGTGGTCCAGTGGCAAACTCCATGCTCCCAATGCAGGGGGCTTGGGTCCGATTCTTGGTCGAGGAACTAAATCCCACATGCTGCAACTAAAGATCCTGCACACTGCAACTAAGACCTGGTACAGCCAAATAAATAAATAAATAAATAAATTTTTAAAAAGGAAAAGAAATCAAAGTCACATTATGGTAGTGAAATAGTGAAAGTTGCTCAGTCATGTCCGACTGACTCTCTGTGACCCCATGGACTATAGCCCACCAGGCTCCTCTGTCCTTGGAATTCTCCAAGCAAGAGTACTGGAGTGGGTTGCCATTCCCTTGTCCAGGGGATCTTCCCGACTGAGGGACTGAACCCAGGTCTCCTGCAATGCAGGCAGATTCTTTACTGACTGAGCCGCCAGGGAAGTCCTGGTTAATAGTCAAACCTGAATTAAGATTAAAATCAGCTCTTGAGAATTCCTTGGTGATTCAGTGGTTGGGATTCAGTGCTTGCACTGCTGTAGGCCTGATGGGCCCCAGTTCAATCCCTGGTCAGAGAACCAGTACCCCTGGGTTGCAAGCAGCCAAAACAAAAACCAAAGAAAAAGGTTAAAATCAGGTCTATCGATAGATCGTGACTGAGTTTAATCCACCTCACGATTATGAAATCCAGGTCAAATTATCTGAATTCTTCCCTTACTCTAAAAAGAAAAAAAAGGGTCACCCATACACTATACCATTTAGACAAAAGCCTTTCTTTAACATTCATTATAAAGGCATTGCTTCCCAGGTGGCTCAGTGGTAAATAATCTGTCTGCCAATGCAGTAAGATTCAATCCCTGGGTCGGGAAGATCCCTTGGAAAAGGAAATGGCAACCTCCTCCAGTATTCTTGCCTGGGAAAACCCACGAAGAGAGGAGCCTCGTGGGCTACAGTTCATGGGGTCACAAAACAGTTGGACATGACTTAGCAACTAAATGACAAAGAAGGGCATCAGTGAACTAAGTTCTGTGTGCAAGTATGTTTTCCAGCTGGTAAGCTTTGGTTGACATCTGATATGGTCAACTGCTGTCAGCCCATCAAGTTCCAGGAGTTTCTGAGAAGATCCAAAATAAGAAGTAACTATTTGCAGACTACTTTAATAATGTGTCTGCCTCTAAAGACATCAAATGAAGTTACTGTTCTCTTGATATTAGAATAACTCTTAAGTGATTAATAGCAAATGGGATTTCCAAAAGACTTTCAGACTGCTAATCTTTTAAGAACGTAATACTGAGGTTATAATGCAGTTTAAATAAAAAATATATTTGATATAAAACTGTCAGCTCTATGTATAGCTGAGCCCCTCTGCTGTTCACCTGAAACATTGTTAATTGGTTATAGCACAGAACAAAACAAAAAGTTAAAAAAAAAAACACAAAAAACCCAATCTGTCAGCTTCATATATTAGTTTTCAAAACCAGTTTAGTATGTAAAAGACAGAAGCTGTTAGGGGAAACACTGACTGAAACCACCCACCCTGACCAGGAACCACTGTAACCATTTGCGTGAGTTGTTTTATGACAGGAGGTCCTGGCAAGGAACAAGCCACCACCAGTCAGAAGAATTCGGGAAAGTCAAAAGGAGACACTACAAATCCTACCAACCTCCCAGAGTCCTCCTTGCTGGAATCCCTCTTGGCTAAGCAGTGCACGAGTCAGAATGATTCTCTAGAGACAACGGAAACGAATCCCATCACCATGAAACCTCAGCCTGAAAGCGCTGGCAGAGCACTCCTCCCGGGCTCCCTTACCCTCCTGCTCTCCACCCGGCTACCCCTTCCCAGTGAAGTCTCTTGCTTTGTCAGCATGTGTGTCTCCTTGGACAGTTCATTTCAAGTGTTACACAAGAGCCCACTCTCAGGCCCTAAAATGGGTCCCCTTCCTGTAACAAAGTCCTGAAGGTTGTTTGTTGACTTGAAGCTGACTTTTCCCCAGTATTTTCTAGTGTAATTAAGCATATACATCTGTGGTTTTCAGGGGCTCTTACAGAAGCCTCACTGTAGATAGTTTATTTCTAGGAACCAAGTTTACTTATGTCCTACTTCATAGGATACAGACTGACCCGAAAAGGCTAGGTGACAAAGGCACCCCCGCAAGCATACACCCTTAAAGACTAGGGATGAAAACAGCAAAATGAATCACCAAAAGATACAGGTTGAAAAGATGAAAGTGACAGTCTCTCAGTAGCAGGACTGTGAGATAGGGATGGGTGGGGCTAGCGGTACTACTGATACCTGTGAGCTCATCAGAGGTAAACAGATGTAATTAATGGGCTGGAGTGTTTAAACCAGAGGGCAGGTATTGTTATGATACAATCAAACAAAATTTGATAAATAAATCTGTAAACCAAAATCAGTTGCTAAGCAGTCACTACATGTAGACCACTGTGCTGAGGGAGTCAGGGAGGGTCAAACATAAATTAAAATATTAAATTAGATCAGCTTTTAGTTTCTTTCTAGTTCTAAAATTGACAATTCTATCTGTGTTAACTCATCTTTAAAGTGTATACATATAAAGAGCAAAGATATCCTAATCCTATATCCTGCCCCTTACAAATTGAACAAACAATAAGCTTTTGCAGGAGCCCTGGGCCAGGAAATAATACTTCTGGGGGGGGTGGGGTGGGGGGGAGGGGAAGCAAGCCTTATTTAAAAAACAAAAACCCTTTTGGTGTCCAAGTCAAAAGCTGTGACATGTTAAAGCAATTGTTTTACTTCCTTCAGGATGGAATCATTTGCAAAATTCCATTCTCTTATTTTAAATCCTTCTGTTATTCAGTTAGAAAACTTGTTGCTTAATATGCAAATCTTAAACTAGGAAAGGGAGGGAGGAAATGAAGCTCAACAAACACAACAAAATAAAGTTGCTTTGCAGTGTTGAGGCTGCCAGGCTTTTTGTTACTCTACTTGAAAGTAAATGTGACTTGTCTGTATAGAGTGCTGCTTCAGCAGTTCCAAATGAATTTCAAGCTTGTGCTCCATATTTTCTCTTTTGTAAGTTTAATGTATTCAGCAACACTGAACTGACAATTTAAATAACTACATTTTTAAACAAACGAAGCATTGATGTTAATGTATGAAAATGGTCCAAAGCCCTGGGAGTCTTGGTTCCCACCATTGTTTATTCTGACAACAGGATATAATTGCTTACTTACTTGGCAGCAAATTTAACCATCTGCTTGCTTGCATGGTCTCCTACCGCCACAAGAGCCTGGACATTAAACTGCTGCTGTCGTAGGACTAAGAAACACTGCTTTCCTGAAAAAGACAAAAAGTATACAAGTGTATTAAGGACATGCTAGTTTTACAACATGCTAGTTCAGGTTTTACAAAGAAGAAGAATGTTTTCCTATTTAAAAATTGGGTCCAAATTTACTATACTCAATAGGGCCATACATGTGAGTATTTGGCTTTGACGGCCAAAATACTCATACTCAATTGACAGGCTTTAAAGAAACCCAAATTCCTCCTATGCTTTACAAATGTTATTGAGGACGTAGGCAAATCATCAATTTCAAAAAACATTATTTATCAAGAGAATTATTTTTTCATTGTATGTACTTACTGAACAAATTTCAAGTAACTTCAGATCACTTTCACCATTCAAAAGCTAGTATATTCTTTTTTTTTTTTCCACTTATTTTTATTAGTTGGAGGCTAATTACTTTACAATATTGTAGTGGTTTTTGCCATACATTGACATGAATCAGCCATGGATTTACATGTCTTCCCCATCCCAATCCCCCCTCCCACCTCCCTCCCCATCCCATCCCTCTGGGTCATCCCAGTGTACCAGCCCTGAGCACTTGTCTCATGCATCCAACCTGGACTGGCGATCTGTTTCACCCTTGATAGTATACTTGTTTCAATGCTGTTCTCTCTGAACATCCCACCCTCGCCTTCTCCCACAGAGTCCCAAAGTCTGTTCTATACATCTGTGTCTCTTTTTCTGTTTTGCATATTGGGTTATCATTACCATCTTTTAAAATTCCATATATATGCGTTAGTATACTGTATTGGTCTTTATCTTTCTGGCTTACTTCACTCTGTATAATGGGCTCCAGTTTCACCCATCTCATTAAAACTGATTCAAATGAATTCTTTTTAATGGCTGAGTAATATTCCATGGTGTATATGTACCACAGCTTCCTTATCCATTCGTCTGCTGATGGGCATCTAGGTTGCTTCCATGTCCTGGCAATTATAAACAGTGCTGCGATGAACATTGGGGTGCACGTGTCTCTTTCAGATCTGGTTTCCTCGGTGTGTATGCCCAGGAGTGGTATTGCTGGGTCATATGGCAGTTCTATATCCAGTTTTTTAAGGAATCTCCACACTGTTCTCCATAGTGGCTGTATTAGTTTGCATTCCCACCAACAGTGTAAGAGGGTTCCCAAAAGCTAGTATATTCTATAGGCAAAGGTACTAGGCTAAGCATCACAGGAGCCTCAAATGATGCAACCATGAAAGTACTAATACAGTGCTTAGTCATGGGAACATAAACGTTTTTTGCAGGTGGTTCTTTTTATTTCCTTCCAAAGTACATTTTAAAGAGCATTTAGAATAACAGACTAGCTTATCTCATGTCCTATTTTACTCATTTTTTCTTTATGATCTTCCTAATCTTTCATCCTATATAACTGTTCCACTTATTTTTAACCCCCAATAGTTCACTTTGTCTATAAAAGATCATTCTCTTTATGCCTAAAAACCAGTATTACTTCTGTGTAATTCTGAGCCTCGTGATTCTCTCTTCTTTCATAAGGAATTGTCATTCCTTATTATTAACCTTTTGAAGGATATTCATAATAGATCTAGTCACTATCCTTGTGGCAACTCTTTTTTTCTAAAATAGATTCTTTTTACAAGTCTCTGATCACATTTTGGGACACTACTTCCTCATAAAACAAGTTAAATCGTTTCCAGACCACTTTTCTCATCAGATTGTCTTTCAAAACATCAAAAGATTTTGGGTTTTTTTTAAAATGAGAATTATCTTTTACTGAGAATTAGCTTTGTCCCTCACTCCCTCCCCTAAAAAAAAGCAAAAGATGCAAGCAGACTAGTAGTTAATACTTTCAACATACAGTTTTGAAATGCAAATATGACAGCAATCATGATGTTTAAAAAAAGGCTGCAGGGTGCCAACACAGACACAATCTATGGACTTCCAAATCATGTATGATTGACACAGTTTTCCACTATATAGATACCACTGCCCCTTTCCTTTGCAGTAGGATCCAGTTGCTAAGTACAATCTCTCTCTTTTTAAATTATTTAATTATTTTTGGCTGCACTGGGTCTTTGTTGCTGCAGGTTTTCTTTCTCAAGTTGTGGCGAGAGGAAGCTACTCTTCGTTGCAGTGTGCAGGCTTCTCAATGTGGTGGCTTCTCTTGCTGCAGAGCATGCATTCTAGGTGTGTGGGCTCCAGAGTGCAGCTTCAGTAGTTGTGGCACACAGACTTAGTTGCCTGGCTGCATGTGGGATCTTCCTGGGCTAGGAATCCAACCTGTGTTTCCTGCATTGGCAGGTGGATTCTTAGCCACTGGACTTCAAGGGAAGCTCTAAGCAAAATCTTAAAGAAAATTATGTGAGCTGTACAAATTCAAAGGGATTTTTAAGATGCTGAATTGATAAAGATTGTTAGAGAAATCTGCAGATGAATCAAATGACATTCCAAGAACTACTGAAATTATAGCCAGATATTAGCCCACTCAGAACAGAATGTTAACAGGAAATAGAAGGTAATGTACATGACTTAGTAAACATTTTAGCTGCTCTAACAGTGCAGACAGAGGCAGCACTGACCTGGCTGCACTACAAAGCAATCTTGTGATGAACTGCGATGCCAGACAAAAACCCTGGGAGAGAGCAGAGAGCTCCACAGTACTTAACAAAGGGTGACGATGTCTTTAGGTTAGCCCTAAGGGGTGACATGCAGTGTAAGGGTCTGGTAAAGAGTAAAAGCTTTTAAATCAAAAGATATGGGATCATATCCTGTTACTTCCTATAAGGGGCCTACCAGAATATTAACTATGTCTCAGTTATTCATCTGCAAAATGAAGAAAGCAACAGTATACTACTCATGGGGTTTTCTTGAATTTTCATCTGTACTCTTGAGGATTATATAATAAGTTTATAATTGTGACAGACACCTAATTAACGTTAACTGTAAACTAGTATTGCTACCTTTTAACTTATTATTATTGCTAATAGCACTACTGCCACTGCCTACTTATTTGAGGACTATGAAAACTGGGTTCCCAGGTGGCCCCAGTGGTAAAGAACCTGTCTGCCAATGCAGGAGACGCAAAAGACAAAGGTTTGACCCCTGGGTCGGAACGATCCCATGAAGCAGGAAATGGCAACCACTCCAGTATTCTTGCCTGGAAACGTCCATGGACAGAGAAGCCTGGCAGGCTATAGATCGCAGAGTTGGACATGACAGCATGCATGCACTGCACAACTATTTCTATTTCACAGCTGGATCACTATGTCCAAAAACTACGGTGGGTGCTGGGAATACAAAGTATGTATTTGTTAGACATTCATGCCGGACTGTTATGTGAACAAAGTGATAAAGCCAATCATAATTTTAAGAGATATTAAAATTGGCTGCAAAAAAAACCCACCAAAATATGAAACTGTATAGGACAAAAAAACACCAAAAACTTTGGCTACTAGTGGATGGTGAAACCGTAGAGCATTATTCTGTTCTTCGTATTTTCTGAACTTTCTACAATACGCATGGCACTGTTTTTTTAATCAGAAAAAATAATTTTTAAGAGACCAATAAAGTCAAAGATGAAGGTACAGAAGAAACGTAAGGGTTAAAAGAAAACTGTGGCCATGTTCCAGATTCAACACAGGAGGTAAGCAGAACTCCCGTGTACTTAGGAGGACATAGAAGCAAACGTACTCCTAAGAGCTAACATGCCTGCTAGGAAACAGAAATCATGAAATCAATGATTATGATTGAAGCAAAGAATGTTCACTGTACTCTTTTAATGTTTGATGTATTTACTCTATGTGATTTTAGAATTTATATATATTTTTTAAAAAAGCCAATAGATGAAAGGAAAGTGGAGGCGAGACCAATGTATGGTGAGTCGCTTCACTCGTGTCCGCCTCTCTGCGACTCCATGAACCCGCCAGGCTCCTTTGTCCATGGGATTCTCCAGGTGAGAATACTGGAGTGGATTGCCATGCCCTTCTTCAGGGGATCTTCCCAACCCAGGGATCGAACCCTTGTCTCTTAGGTCTCCTGCATTGGCAGGCGGGTTCTTAACAACTAGCGCCACCTGGGAAGTCCGAGACCAATACCATCAGCATATTATAAAGCCACAGTAAGTAAAAATGTACAGAAACAGCCAGATCAATGCAGCATAAAAAAGAACTGAGAAGATGCCCTATTAGAGCAAAGAGATTTTAATTCTAGTGAAATTCAGGAGATAAACTAAAAAACTGAGTAATATAAAAATGGAACTGAATATTAAACTATACAATAGAAAAGGGGAGGACTCTTTAAGTTTGAAAATTATAGAATGGCTATATATAAAAATAAACCACTCTGGGAAAAATATCTACTGAATGACATATAATCTGTATGAGTTAATATCTTTAATACATAAAGATCTTAAAGATGTATATGTAAAGAACACTGAGATCCCAATGCATAATGGACTAGAACAAATAATCTAAAAGAAAAACATCCTGGTAAGTAAACATAAGGAGAAAAATGTTACTGGAAATGAAACTAGTGTAAGTTGAAACAAATACTGATTATGACACATACCTCTCATACTAGAATAAATTAAAAAATATACACTATTATTCGATGCTCAGAAGAATTAAGTGAAAACTGTTCCTTCATAACTTGTCAATCGCAAGACAGGCTTGTACAATGCTTTCAGAGATCAATTTGGCAAAGGGCTTAAAACGTTCTGATTCAAAAAATAAGTTTCTTAGAATGTATGTTAAGAAAATTAAATAGGGAACGTCTTACTGACAAGGCTGTTCATAATAGCATTATTTAAATAAAAGAAATGAGGTTTAACATCACCCCATATTTATGTAATTTTCACTAGTAGAACAGATCTACATGTGACTCTAATGCTATGGTCCCAAGTTTTCTGTGTTCAAAGCACTTTCAAATACTAGAACCTTGATGGTACATTCAAAAAGATTTTTAAGACTTAAAAAATCAGTACTGGTTTCCTGGTAAACAGAGCTGTCCACTCAGACCCCCTCTATCAAGT